ATCTCCCACACTCGCCGCGCTGCTCCAGCAAAAAGTCGGGAAAACTGGAACCGAAAACACCGCTCGCGTGCCGATTGCCGAGCGCGGCGCGCTCTCCTGGGATCGGGACGGGAGCGCGCACACGGGTAACGGGACGGCAGGAGGAGGAGGAGGAGGAGGGGGGGTGGCCCTAACGCGCGCCCCCGTCGGCCGTGTATGAATATTTGAGTGGATGTATCGGTTTGTATTCGCTCAGTGCGTTTGTTACAGTGGGGAGAGAGAGAGAGCGCGGAGACGGCGAGCAAGTAGCGGCACAGCAGCGGCGGCGGCGGCAGCAGCATCAATGCATCTGTGCATCTTAAAATCGTACCGCCTGTCTATAGCTGCCACTCCACTCCACAAAATTCCCTTCTGAGGTCTCACAGCGAGGGGGACACCTCGGGGATCTTCCTCATCTCCCGGCGCAGGAGAAGCAGCAGCACACCGCCTCTGTTTGGGTTGCCTCGCAAGAGAGAGAGAATTCCTGCACTACAGTTACATCTTTCGACCCCCCCTCCCTCTCTGTTTCTTGAATTTTTAATGGAAAATGGCGATCTGCGCTCAGTCCTGCAGCATCTTCTGCTTCGTCTCCGTCCCAACTGTCCTGATTTTCAGCGTCTCCTCGCCGGGAGCGGAGAGCTTCATCTTTCCTCAGCAGTACACGTAAGTACTGGCGCTGGACGGGGCCGGGCCGGGGAGACGCAGGCGGGAAGTGGGGCAGGTGCCTGCGGACTGCGCCGTGCGCGGTGGTGGGATGGAGCGGGCTGACACTGTTACACCGCTGCTTAAAAAACTGGGACCTCGTCTCTATCTCTCTCTCTCGCTCTCTTTCTCGCAAGCTCGCTCGCTCGCTCGCTCGGCGGGGCTCTCTGCTCCTTGAGATCTGCCTGTTAATTCGGCTCGAGTTTGCCTTTTTTTTTTCTTAATTCTTCCACTGACTCTGTACAGGCTTGTCTGTGAAGGGGACGGTCCGTTACAGTCTCTGCCTGACCAGGGTCCGAGCAACTCGCTCATCCCCCTCTTTTCGGAGCGCTGTAGCCCCCGACGGTCGCCGTCGCGGAGTTGCAGCTGAACCGCTATTTTGTTTTGGGTTTTTTTTTTTAAAAAAAACGGCTTACTTTAAACGTGTTGCTGGTTTGGCGTTCTCCTTTGAGGGCGCCGGGAGGAGGGACACTGTAGCCCCGTGTGGTGTGGTAGTCGCTCGGCGCACACTCTCCTGGAGACGGGGGCTGGTGTGTTAGACGGCACTCGATGGGCTTGATTGAGGTCTTTGCCCCCACTTGAATGCAGCACTTTTAAAACGCACTTATGTGCAATGCCCTGAACCTCCAGTCAGAACCTTGTTTTAGGTTTGAGACCTTTGCCGCACATTTTATTTGAACAAAACAAAACAAAACAAAACAAAACGCGACGTGACGGAGGTCTTTCGGCGGAGCAGCGGGGAGGACGGAGCGCGAGCGATACCGTACCCCTTCCTTCCCTTCACGTGCCCGTTCGACCCCCTTCTCCGGTCCCCCGGCTCGCGCTCGCCTCTCTTTCCCGAACGAGCCGCTCTCACGTCCTCAGAGGGCAGGTTTCGATCGGGCTCCGCAGTCCGCACGCCTGCAGCCTGCAGCCTGATCCCCGGGAGCCCGTCTTTCACGACCGCAACTGTTTGATGTCGGGGTAAAGGGTGAGCTCTTGCAGACATTTTTAGGACGTTTCGCCCGCGGGTGAGTGATTAGCCCCAGCTGTTGAAAACGCAATCCCCCCCCAGGAAAAATCTCCACGTGTAACCTTTCCCGGACCATTTACTTCATTTTTAATTCGAATTTCGTATAGGCTGCAAATCGTTTATTTTATTTCCCCTTACGCATGGTAAGACGGTACGCATTCGCCAAGACGGCTGTAGTTTAATTTTCCCTTATTCATTTAAGACGGTGTTGTAGAGTACTAATGTCTTCATCCTGACGAACGCTAATTACTGCCTGGCGCGGCCGGAGTCTCGGTCAAAGATGCAGTCTTGTTTTAACGACGCGGGTTCATTTCGGTGTGTCCTGTTGCACTGAAATGACGATCATGAGTTCGTGCCGCCGATATCGTTTGAATTATATTGAATGCTGAGACGGGTGGTTTTCCACTGTGAGATTTTGATAGTTCGACGCCATCTCCATTATCAGATCGATATTACATAGCCGTATATATAGTCATATATATATACACACACACACGAATGTACAGTTTCTGGTTTGACAGCTGTTGAACTCTTCCAAGAGCGCGGTTCCGGTCCGCGCGTGAAGGTGGGCGCGGGCGGCGGTCCCAACTTAGGCAGCCGCTCTCGCGCATCCTCCGTGAGCCTCCGGCACGCGCCGTCGCCTTTCCGGTAGACCTCTGCTTTTATACATCGTGGTTTTTTTTTATTTTGAAAAAAACCCCCGACAAACATCACCCAGGTCCAATGCAGATATTTAAATATTTACGTCAGTTATCGCTTGCGTTGTTTTGTGTTTTGTTTTTGTTTTTGTTTTTTTCCTGGAGATTTTTAAGACATGTTTCAGCGTCTTTTCTTAATTGTAAAAACAAAACGTGCACAGTAACGTCTGCTTCCCACTTTTCGGAAAAGAAAACCGGAGCCCCTGATGAAGAAAGTCTGTGCTGTGTAAATAATTCAAAACGATTAACTGCTTAGAGAGTTTGAGAAGGTATGACCGTTTTCCAGTCCGATTTTTACCATTCCGTTGTTTTTCCCCCCACGTATTAAAAAGAACTGCGGGTGATTTTAAAATAATACAAATAACTGTTCAGTCGTTTTTTAGTTCTCGTGTTGCAAATTGAAAATTTGATTACACCGATGAAAAACATCGCCAAAACCTTTGAATGCTCGCCCGTCATCAATAAACGCGACTCTTCTTGAACTGTTTTTATTTCTAATGTGTTGTCTGTTACCGACGAATCGCGATCCGGAACAAACAAGCGGATATACAGAGTATCAATGGAAAATGTATCGATGCATATATTGAGGTAGATATCTATATGTACAGTACAGTGTAATCAGTACGAATTCGCCCTTCATGACTCTTAACTTCACAGGTCTTTTGTCGCACTCCATACACACAGGAGTGAAAAACACCGGGACGGTGGCTATTAGGATACTTATTTTATTACAACAGTACCTTGTTTTTTTTTACATTTTCGAACTTTATAAACGCTGTGTGTGTGTGTGTTTTAATTGATCCCTGTCCGCTGTTTCGGTTTAAGCACGGCGATCACACGAGAGGCCCTAAAATTGTTTGCCATTTGCCGCAGGCATTGCTTTTTTTCTGGGGTGGTGGTGGTGGGGTTATGCAATATTTATTTTAATTCGCGTGCAGCGGTGATGAAGACGTTTTCACATCACGCAAACGCCATCAAACCTCATCCCCGCGCCGGACAGTTCAACACCTGCGGGGTCGTTATGTTGGCTTAGAATAACAGTGGGGGCGGGAGAAAAAACATAAAATATTCCGCCCGTAATTGTGATGAGAAATCTTGGCGGACACGAGAGCGCCGCTGGAGCAGGCTGCACATTTCTTTCTGGATTTCTGCTCGCACCGAACAGTCCACCAACTCCCCCCACCCAAACACAGACGGAATGGTATTTGCACTGTTTGAAAAGGCCCTGTAATGACGGGTCAACCCACTCAGGCGACGTGCCGACATAGATCTTTGGCAGAAAAACACGGGCGCGCGACACCGACGCGGGTGAGCGTCGTTTTGTTTGTTTGGGTGTGTTTTTTAAAAAAAAAACTGGAACACAGACCTTTCGATACGTTGTAATAGAATTTGCGGAGGCAGTGCAGGGCTGCCTGTCCTGTCGTGACCCCAGCATCTAAACATCTAAAGACGTTTTCGGCACCTCGCTAGGCTCGTGATTGTCACCGACTGGCCAGGAGAGGGAGATCAGGCATTTTTAGTGCCCCCACCCACCCAAAAAAAAATAAATACAGCCCATGAAATAAGCACTCAGTCGGGGGGGCGAAGGGGGTTCGAATCCCGAGAGGAAAAGCATCTGTTTTCCGGGTTCTGGGAAGCCCGGCCCGGGTGTGGGGGCCGGAAGGAAAGGGCCGTCTCGGGCCCAACCTGCCCGCGCACACCGCCGAGCGCGTTCCTGCAGCGCCTGGGGGACACACACACACACACGCACGAGCACGTCCTCACGCGTCCTCGCCGTCTTGACTTGTCCCGCGCGATTTGGAACCTTCTGAAGCGCCAGTGCCACGCCCCTCCCGGTGTACTGGTGGGGAAAACACCAGAACAAAATCGCGTCGTATGCTATATATAATAAAACACACACACACACACTGCCTTTGTGCATCTGGCGGTGGGTGAGTGTACCCCCATTTTAATGCAACCCATCCCACACAAGCTGCTGGAAATGCTGAGTGCAGTTGATGAGGGGTGCCCTGCCCTGCCACCCGCCATTCTGCAGACAGTGCAGGCCTGCCAGTAAGAGGCGGTCTACTCCAGACCACCACAGCGGGTTCCTCTCCGTTACGCGAGCTCGGTATTCGGAGAAGCAAGTCGCATGACGCGTCTTTAAAGTGTTACTTTAGCTGCTGGTTTGCAGGACCGGCTCACCCTGCAGGCCCTGGTCTTCGTGTTCTGACCCGACCCATCCTTGCACTGAACCAGAGTTCCCCATTCAGACAGACAGACAGACCCTGCAGCAGGGCCCTCGGTCACACAAGCCACCCGCGATCCACTGAGAACAATCCACGATCGCCTGCGATCAATGAAGTGGGCAATTTGTCAAATCGGGTCTTTTAGAAACCGTGTTAAAAAATCTGAAAGCATGTTGGCCTTCTGCTCCCGGGGCTCATTTAATCGAACAAATGACCAGCTTAATTGATCAGTAACTTTCGAATGTTCCCAATCCGTAGAAGAAGGTGACCTGAGGTGACCTATGAATCCTACAGGATGGGGGTTCTCCCGGGACACAGATTGGAGCTCCCCGATCTGGACCATCAAGCTCTTTCTAGTTGTTGGAGCAATTCTAGCAGTGGGTGCCACTGCTGATGCTGGAGAGTTTCATCCCCCCCATTGACAGTCAGTGACCCCTCCTGTGACAGCCCCTTCCAGGAAGTGGCGTTCACGCTGACCTCGGAATAATCTGGTGTGGCCTGCAGTGTGCTGCTATAGGGGCTCCGTTTCAATGTTAACGCTAACTTCAAGCGCACTCTGGGCCACGGAAGAGGAGAGTCATCGCTGTGCTATCGTCCTTAATTGGTTGTCTTTTATGCTCCTCATTGTTCTCCAAAGATCTGGATTGCTAATTAAAATTAAAAACTGAATTGTTGGGGCAACACAGTATACACGAATGCTAAATGAACTCTGCGATGTTAATTGCACACTGTTTTAAAGACCAAAAAACGGGAAAAACGATCAGTTAAATAATTCCTAGTGGGAAAAGGAGCATTTTTAACACCTTTTTCAACAGAGCATAGAAGAATTCTAACGTGCATAATGGCTAGAGAGACTGGTGCAAGCCAAGGCAAGAGAAAAATTAATAAAGAAGTTGCATATAGTTGCCTGGAGATACCTTGAATCTGGAAACTATATATATATAGAAAAACCTGTATATCTGAAAAAATCTTGTTCTAAGGCAAGTTAAAAATTGCTTACTGACTTGTTTGGTTTCTTCTCGC